TGTGTTGCTGACCCCAGAGGATTCAAAATGAAGTTGCAAAAACTGTCATAAAACCCAAGTATGGACTGAGTCCCTTCCTCACAGAATCCTCAGTCCATAGTGATCGATGATTGTCTACAGTACTAGAAGGCAGGGCTTTATTCACTTTACTGACTGTTAGACTTTAACACTATTCGAAACTATATGATTGACATGAGTTGTGTATTTTGTAGTGTTTGGCAGTGTTTAACACAGCTTCAAGGCTTAATCCCAATTCTACCTCTTAGCCCTTAGCCCTACCCCTCGTTTTCGCGCATTCGGGTGAAGGGGTGTCCTAATTCTCTTTAGCTTGAAGGCATAGGGAAAGGGCTAGATGGCCCTTGAAACAGAGATTTTCCAGGAACACACTACAAACTAAGGGGTATGAAAACATTTCCAAGAATATGCTTGCTACAACGGCACCATGGCTGCACACGTGAGTCAGAAGATGCACAATAAAAAAAATACATATATATATATATATATATATATATATATTGGGATTGAGCCTAAGTGAAGATTCAGCAGACATTAACATCTAAAAGTGAACCGTAAAGCTATTGTTTCTCAAAAAAAGTTGTTTGAACGATTCCTCATTGCTTCGAATCTTTAGTCCAATAGATTTCCATGTTGAACAGTAAGTGTTAACCTCCAGTGCATAACTTATCTTACAGATCTGATTGATACCACGAAAAAACAGCAGGAATCAAACAGTCAAGCTCAGCTCAAGATAAAAATGGGGCCACAAAAAATCCCATAGACTTACAGTATGAGCTATATATAGAGGCCAGCGTTTATTGCGTTTTTTTAAACTCACCTGAGTCCTGAATATACCAGGTCAAGCCTTATTTTAGTCCTGAAAGTATGAGAGTGTGGAGAACGAATGAATGAGGCTATCAGAGAGACTATCATGTGTTTGTTTCCGGAGTCAAACACTTTCAGATTTTCTCTCATCATTCTGGCCGTCTGAACTGGGTCACATCTGCATGAGACTAAAACTCTGCTCTCTCAAACCCAGCGAGCAGCACTTATGCCTTCATATCTGTGAAGAACAGCTTAAACCAGGATAATGTCTCTCTGTCAGACTCTCTGACACACGAACAAAAACTGCTTGCACTTTATATTAAGGTGTTCTTGCTATATAGTTTACCTATTGATTTAACTAGGGAGTGCCCTATAATACACCGGGGCAATGCAGTGATAGGTACGATACAAGTGTTTCAGCCTGGTGCAGGTTTCATTTTCATATTTTGCACCACATGGTTTAAATAGCACATGCATTTGCACCCATTTGTGCACCTATGGGTGTGCCGGTCTGAAAAAAAGGGTATTAAGGTGCATTGTTGTTGTGCTTCTATTTCAAGGAAACTGAAATAGACTTCACCATTGACCAACTAAAAGCTGATCTAAAGTCAACAATGAAGTTGAAGGCAACCCCAGTGGTTTGTGGCTCCAAAATGTGTGTATACGTTGCTTGTTACAAATAGGGATGCACAGCAACACACAAATATTTTTATATATGAAAAACTAAAGTATAAGAAATGTTACCTCCTTCTGTGGCTTCTTCATCTTAAGGGGATCTGATGGAATCTGGCTTGTTCTGTAGATGGATGTGCAGCATTTTAACAAACCAAAGTGTATTTAGTCTGATTAAACAGCGTTGCTTGTTATCCACATGATCATAAGCTGAAGAAAGGAAAGTGATGAACTGTGACAATAAAATCTCTGCTACTTTACTGTTTTGTCACACTCCTCTCATTAGCAATTACTTAAGCATTTATCTTGTTTCGCTTCCCCAACATTCAGACTTACTCTGATTCATAATACTATAAGTGTTGAATATTTTACTCCTCCATCAACATGATTTCTGCAGGAGTCCATAACAATGTAATGAAGAAATCCCATGATTCCACATGCCATCATCAAACTAAGCCTTTGTTTGTTGTGAATATGCGCCCTCTAGCGGTGAACATGACATATTGTGCCGTCAAATCTTAAACAGAAAAAGTTAAGAGGTTGTGACAAATATACTGCAGTTAGCAAAATGGTGTAGCACACAGTGCAACATCAAATCTCTTAATTCTATCATGCGTTTTACAATTATGTCTTCGCCCACTTTTTTGTTTTTGTATTTTTCAGAACGAGAACATTTCAGTGTTCATTTCTTCGTGTATTGAGTCGTGTAATTAATGAACAACTTAGTTTTGTCTTTCTCTTTTCAACGATAATGCATTGTTCATTCAGTAGACAAGCAAATCAGAGCCCGTGCATTTATTATTTTAACTTCTGTTGCGCACATAGGTTACAGTTACAAGTTACTTCCCATAAATAGTAACTGAGTTAGTAACTGAATTACATGATTATAAAAGTAACTCATCGCCAGGTAAAATAACTACTGTGTTTATATTGAGACAGACACTAAAATGAATACATTATTATTATAAATTGATGCCCACTTTTCTATACCATATATTAATGTTGTTGTGGGTCAATGTGAGAGAAACTTAGTCAACTTTAATGTTTTATTGTAAATGTAATCTCTATAGTGTAACAATAAGTCATAATAAATGGTTTAGAACATGTATTTATTTATATGTTCATATTTATTGGTCACAACTGTCAAAGCCTAAAAATAAACTATGCTTCTTGGTGGGTGGGTGTGTAGATGGGTAGTGAGATGGATGGGTGTTTTGATAGAAGGATGGGTATAAAGATGGATGGGTGGTTGAAGGGATGGATGGATGGATGGATGGGTGGGTGGGTGGGTGGATGGATGGATAGATGGATGGATGGTGAGATGAAAGATAGATGGATGGATGGATGGATGGATGGATGGATGGATGGATGGATTAATGGATAAGCAGTTAAACAGAACAATGGATGGATGGATGAATTAAACAACAAATTGATGACAAATAGAAATATAGATAAAATAGTACATGGCAGACAGATAAAATTGAAAGTAAATGGATAGATGGGTGGTGGGATGGATGGATCTATGTATGGATGGATGGATGGATGGATGGATGGATGGATGGATGGATGGATGGATGGAGGAATGGTGAGATGAAAGATGGATGGATTAATGGATAAGCAGTTAAACAGAACAATGAATGGACGGATTGAACAACAAATTGATGATGAATTGAAATATAGATAGAATACTACATGGCAGACAGATAAAATTGAAATTAAATGGGCAGATGGGTGGTAGGATGGATGGATGGATGGATGGATGGATGGATGGATGGATGGATGCATGGATGAATGAGTGGGTAGAGGGAGGGATGGATGGGTGGGTGGATGGACGGATGGATG